TAATAATAAAATACTTTCTGGAGAAAATTTTATTACATGCCATATTGTTTTCAGTCAGAGAACATTGGAAAATCATAATTTTGCAAGCCTCAAAAACTATTTATAAAATATGAGTTGAAGGCTAAAAATGTGATACTTATTTGCTGAATACAAGAATGGGTGATGCAAATCAGGCTTATATTTCAAAGATTAGGGTTGAAAAAATCTTCTCAGTAACAACATACAAACAACATAAAAAGGAACATAGAAAGGACCACAGAATACTAACAATGGCAAATATAGATTGAAAGAAGAGATTGCAATAGTGAATATAAATGAGACATTATGTCCATCCTAAGGTGATTATGTTTCTGTTGGAGTAAGCAAAGCTTGTTTTATAAATGGTAGTAGGTATACAATGTTATGTAAGAAAGTTGAAAAATCAAAGTTCAACATAAATGATAGTTGTTGTACTCCATTGTAGGTAAATTTAATAGACTTTCTTTCTTTTTTTTTTTTTTGTTAAGTTTTCTAAATTGTGTTTGCCCACTAAAGCAAAAGCTATAATACTGTCTTCAGTGGTTCTAAATGTATAGAGATCAAATTCTCAGGCAAATTACATTATAAATGGGGGAGGTTAAACAGATGGAAATGGAGGACACATTTCTATACTTAAACACAAGTGATATAGTGTTTCAAAGATAAAAGTAGGAGAATTATCACTATTATCATAGTAATGTACAAAAAGAAATAGGGAATTAACATAAAGAAAATAATAGGTCATTACAATTAATATAAATGATACACATCTCACCTATTTAAGACTATGGCATCTCTGTTTTGTGGATATGGGAAAGGGTAAGGAGGTTGAGTTTTAAGCAGGGACAACTGTAAAATTCTAGGAAAGAAAGTTAAAACTCAATTCTAATAAAAGTGCAAGAAATAAGCCAGGAATCATTTGATACTAAATAAAGTAGAAACCAAGGAAATGTACTCATTGATTAGGAAATTAATGCTTGTATAGTGAAAAGTATAATAGAGTGACATATTTGGAAAAAATTCTTTTTTTTTTTTTTTTTTTTTTTTTTGAACCGGGGATTGAACTCAGGCCCTTGCACTTGCCAGGGAAATACTTATTACGCTGAGCCATCTCCCTGGCCCTAAAAATTCTTATAACAGAAAAATGACTAAAATCTTTAAAACAAGACTTTAGCACATTAAGCTTTTGTAATATCAACAATTCAAAAATAAATAAATCTAGAGGGATTTGAACAAAATTTTGAATATATTTGAGACAACAAATTCATTTTCAATGTTAAAACCCACAAGAAGACAAAGCTTTCATGAACCTCTGCCACATATTTTTTATCTGGATGAGTTTTAATGTGAAAATCTGTACTTGAGTTCATGCCCAACACATGGCAGTTTTTCTAAGACAAAATTGATCAACTTGCAAATTTTATGAATTTAAATTATATACCTAATACACTGTTGCCTTCTTCATGAGTATGATTTGAAGATTAAAGAAATATATGTGTACTTCATGTAGCACCTACCTTATGTAGGAAGTATTTTAAGAATTGGGAAAAAAATAAAGTTGATTCTTTGTTAGTCTTTAAATCTTTTTTTTTTTATTAAAAAAACTTATTTATTTGGTATAGGGTCTTGCTACACAGCTTGGACTCTTGTAGTGATCCTTTTGTCATAGCCTTCCCCAGCACAGGGATTGCAGATATGCACCACCATGCCCAGTTTTGGTGGCCAGGTAGGCACTCCCCGGGGGTGGGGCCAGCGCAGCATATGGTGCTGTGGATCCAACATGGGTCCCTGCACTTGCCTAAACAGGCACTTAGTCTGCTTAGCTACCACCCCAGCTCTAAATCTTATATTTAATTGAAAAAATTGAAAAATGGAATGAAAATTTAGTATTTCAACACATAAAATGCACACCTAGTGATTTTCCAATTCTATGTCTTATAAGCTAATAAATATTATTTGCCACAGCTACAACAGATATAAATGTATACAGAGAAATATGTTTGGGAAAAAACTTGTGGCTGTCAAATATATAAACTGTATAACACTAATAAAATAAGCACAAAAACTTTGAAAATGGCAAGAATTAATTACCTCTTATTGAATATTTTCTTGTGCTAAGTGCTTAATTTATGGTATTTTTTGTAATACGTTTACTGAACGAAGTGAGTAGACTAATAGTTTTAATTCAATCTTCAATTCAAGGGCTCTTCAAAATTTGTTCATAGTAATGGCATAATACTTATAACAAAGCTACTATCAATGGTTTGAACTCAATTTTTCTTATAAATATGTACTGTAAATAAGTTAAATATACACCAAATACAGTTCTACTAAAATACAAATTATTTTTAAGTTTGAAAGTACTGAGTAATATTAACTAAGACAGTTTTTAAAATGTTGTGGGCCTGCTAGGCATTAAATCCATTTATGCAACTAGCATGTGATACCAGAATAAAATAGAAGTCCCCAGTTAGAGCGGCTATAGTAAAAAAGATGAAAACTAAGAAGTATTGTTGAGGATACAGAGAAGGGAAATCTTACACACTTTTAGTGGAAACATGCATTAGTATATTTCTTATGGAAACAGTATGAGATTTCTCCAACAAACCTAAAAATAGAAGTATCAGATGACTCAGCTCTCTGTCGAGTATATATACAACAGGAATAAAAGAATTAAATCTTGTCATTTGAAGAAAAGTGGATAGAATTTTAGGATGCTGTACTAAGTGAAGTGAGCCAGATACAGAAGAATAATTCTACATATTCTCACTTGTGTGGGCCAGCCAAAAATGTTGATTATGTTAGTGGTGACTAGTGGGATCAACTGGGAAGAGTGTGGGGTTAGGAGGTCTTCAATGTTAGATAACAATATATAATAACAAAGAAGGAATAACTTTTATTTTATTTTTTGGCAGAACCGGGGATTGAACTCAGGCCCTTGCGCTTGCCAGGATAGCACTTATTCCATTGAGCCATCTCCCCAGCTCCAGGAATAACTTTTAGCATTATGCAGCAATGTAACATGACTATATATTTTCTAAAACTAGAAAGGAGTTCAAAGCTTCCAAACACAACTCAGACTAATGTACCCTACAAAACTGTCTTTCAAAACTGATGGAGAAATAATATAGCTCCATGACAAAGAATACATGAGGAAGTTAATGACATCAAACCAGCACTCCAAAATGTCATAAATGGCATTCTAGATAAAAGTAACAAGAATTACAACTGCATGAACCCTAATAGAGTGAATCCACTAGGCAAGGCAAACAATTAAACAGAGGGTACAAAAAGAGAGCCAACAAAAGGAAAATAACGTGGCAAGAATAAGACAGTACACATCAGTTATAACCACCAAGGTTAATGGTCTCAATTCACCAATCAAAAGAAACAGACTAGCAGAATGGATCAAGAAGTAAGATCCAACAATATGCTGTACATATGAAACATTTAATTCAAAAAAAGAAATTTATCAAATTTTCTTTTTTAACTCTTTAAAAATTTTATTGAGAAACAAATAGCAATGAGACAATTTCAAAACTGATTACTAGCACAGTTTCAATAATTAATACATTACATATTGTTGTCTTAGTGACTATTCTTTGTACAAGATGCAGACATGATATTCTGTCCACAAGCACTATTAGAACAAATTTCTCTATTTAATGATACAAGAGAATGCAGCTGTGTATCTATCTTAACTATTTTGAACATACAGATACAAAATGGATGTTCATTTGTATCCCCTGTTTTGCCAGAGAAGAGTATTCCATTGCCATTTAAATATTGTATGTTCCTGAATTCAGCAAAATATTCCAATGTAGTCCAGTAGTCCATAATAATAATTGGTTTTCCGTAAGACTGGCAGTAACCAAAGTTGTTAACTTGGCCAGGAAGATGGCTCAACGGAATAAACTCTTGCCTGGGAGGCACAAAAGGCTGAGTTCAATCCCTGGTTCCTCCAAAAAAGAAAAAAAAAAAAAAAAGAAAAAGAAAAAGAAAAGAAGTTGTTGACTTGAGCCTTTTACAGCACAGCTTATTAATGTTTCTTTGCTTTCCCTATCTCGTTTTCGTACTTTTCTGTTGGATGGTTAAGATCAAGATAAAGCAAGACTTATGTAATAAGAAATGTAACTTTTGCATCTGATAAGGTCAGTTAAATTCCCTCAGGATTTATTTTCAAACACTGTACCACAGTTTGTAGATCCTTCGTGAATACCAACCATGTGGATTAGTCACGGCCATTGCTTGACCAATTTGCTCTCTGTGAAAGCCTGAGAGAATGTTTTCTCTCCATGTGACTCTTCTTAGGCATACTCTACATCATTGATCACTTTCCTCTTTGGCCCCATAATCTCCTTGATCAGAAAATTTGGGATACAACTGAGTTACATGATGTTACAGGACAGGTTCTCCTATGTCCTGAGTCCTCACTGACTTTGAAAGGCTAGGGCCAAAATGTTGGCTTTCCTTGCAGCTCTTCTTTTTCTCTAATTTTTGGTCTGTAAATTTAGATTGTTAACAATCCATAAGAGAAATTTATTAATATTACCTACAACATAGGCAGTTGCACTTAATCTTACCATCTGTCTGAACATAAAACATCTTGGACATAACATGGGAAAGGTATTTTCCATCAAGTATTGATATGTTTAGCTTTAAGTCCCTGCAGAATATGAAGAAAAAAGTTAAGAAAATAAAAAAAATTAAAAAATAGGAATAAACAGTTACATATTTTTACACAGAGGTTGAGAAATCTAACCATATATAGCATTGTAGCAGGACAGTCCTATGACAGTTTTGTTTCTTGCCCCATTTTAATTTATTATCCTTCTATTTTTTTAAACAAACATTTACTTGAGAGACAGTATGGTAGCAATTGGTATGTCATGACTCAAATTTTCTGATGAAGGAGATTATGGGGCCACAAAGGAAAGTGATCAATGATGTATAATGCACATAAAGAGAGTCACCTGGGGAAGAGCTTTGTTATGGTTGTGGGTTAGTCACCTCTACGGAGCTGAGAAGCAGAAAACGCGTCCCTGGACGCCGCGTCTCGTCCTTGGTTGTTGCCCTGCCGCTGCCTGATTGGTAAATTCGTGTGGCCTTTTAAATAATTGAATAATGATGAAAATGGATCCAACATATTAGGTTACTTCACCAAAGCAGCAGAAGATTCTTCATATCACCTTACAGCAGCTCAATTCAGTTTTTGGAAAGGAGCAGAACAAGTGAAATACTGAAAAAACAGAGAGAAGAAAACTTCATTTTGGAACTCTTTCTCCTTGGCTACCCCTCAGCCCATGTCTTTCTACTTGTTTTAATTTTACTGTGTTTGTAACTAGTGAAGACCAAAGAAATAAAATACATGTGTAAGAGCTATATACCAAGAAATTTGCCTTGAAAGCTGCTATTCTGTAGAGAGAAAAGTTTATCAAGTTATTGTCAGATCCTTTTTTAAAGCAAGATTTTGTAGGTCCTTAGATTTTTGGAAGTTAAGACAATTAGAAACATCCGCATACTGTTTTTAGCAGTTGTATTTAAAAAAAAAAAATGAGATTTGTGTTTTAAGGGCTTTGTCATGTGGGCTCACCACAGGTGTTGACTGCTCCAAAGATTTTTTGATTGTTTTAATGCTATATTTTTGATCTATCTCCTTGATGACAGCACTTACCTGCACATGAAGCTACCTGTCTTTCTAACTATGACTTTGTTATGAATAGTGTTTGGCCTCACTGTGCAAATGTCCATGCATTACCTATTGAAGCAACATTATAGTGCTGTTACTCACGAAAGTTGAATGAGGTGAACATAGACATAGCTTTTTCCCCTTACCCCTCTTTTTAAATGTAACAAATACTTTTTATGTTCCCCTTCCCCCTTCCCCTCCCCCTTCCCCTTTTTGGAAACGTGTCAGAAACTAGGTAGTTGAGGATGAACAATTGAGGGAACTAAGAAAGTGACCTACACGGAGCCAAGCTTCTCTGTGTCCTTCATCACAAGGCGTTCTGTTGGCTGGGCAGTTTAAGCTCCCTTTTAACAAGAAAACCTTTCAAGAGATCCAGCTCATAACCTCAAGGAATTCAGAAAACAGGATCACAGAGATTACACTCTGGGATCCTGGCCATGAGGTTGGATGCCTCACTTTGCTGAAAAGAGACACTGGACCTAAATGGCGCAGCATGACTTTGTTCCTACTTGGCTAAATTTTTCAACACCACAATCAGCTAAGTCACCTACAACCACTTTTGAAAAACACGGAGACCACCTACCCTGAGGAGAAGGTAGATTTGGAGTAAGCCGTCGGCGACACAATTCGTCTGATGGCTTCTTTAACAATGGACCTTTACGAACTACAGGAGATTCCTGGCATCAACCATCCCTGTTCAGCCATGATTCTGTGGACTCTGGTGTTTCTAAGGGAACATATGCTGGAATCACAGGGAACTTATCTGGTTGGCACAGCTCTTCCCGGGGTCATGATGGCATAAGCCAGCGTAGTGGAGGTGGCACAGGGAACCATCGACACTGGAATGGCAGCTTCCACTCCCGGAAAGGCTGTGCCTTTCAGGAAAAGCCACCTACAGAGGTTAGGGAAGAAAAAAAAGAAGACAAGATGGAAAAATTGCAGTTGGAAGAGGAAGACTTTCCTTCTTTGAATCCAGAAGCTGGCAGGCAGACTCAGTCATGCAGACCTATTGGGACCCCTTCTGGAGTGTGGGAAAATCCACCTGGTGCCAAGCAACCCTCCAAGATGCTAGTAATCAAAAAAGTTTCCAAAGAGGATCCTGCTGCTGCCTTCTCTGCTGCATTCACCTCACCAGGATCTCACCATGCAAATGGAAATAAATCATCAACCATGATTCCAAGTGTCTATAAGAACCTGGTTCCTAAGCCTGCACCACCTCCTTCCAAGCCCAATGCATGGAAAACTAACAGAATGGAACACAAATCAGGATCCCTTTCCTCTAGCCGGGAGTCTGCTTTTACCAATCCAATTTCTGTTACCAAACCAGTGGTACTGGCTGGTGGTGCAGTTCTAAGCTCTCCCAAAGAG